GACGACGAGAGCCGGCCGTTTGTGCTGCATTAGAGCTAAGTGAGTCCGTGTGCCCAAGACACGTCCGGCTGCAGCCAATCAGAGAAGAACAAAATACCACTGCCAACAAAGGCAAGGGAGACTGGAATAGCCACTCCTGGCTTGTTAGCCGTCATCAGTCAGCCATTCGCTACCCCGAGGTTCGAACTTACCACCCGCCGCTACTCCACCTACACTACGCGCCGCTGTGCGGCTGCTGGCGGTGCTCGGGAGAGAGCTCCAGGGCACGACAGGACTAGTGAGTTCCGTAATGCGACCGGTGAGCGCCCCCAATCACTAAAAAAAGTATCCATCGGTGTCACGGCGTCGCGGCTGAGTCATACGCGGTGCAAGAAGTGACGACGGGTTTGGTCGCTGTCATCATGCCGAGCAGATTACCACAAGCATAAGGAAGTAAGGTTACACGGAATAAGAAATGGGCAGAAAAGTCGAGAAGAGAGGCCTGGATGGCACACGTGGACGTCAGCTGCTGCAAAGACGGTGCTATTTTTGCGTGATTCCTATCACCGGCGTTCTAATGCAACGCACATTTCTACCCTAACAGGTGCTGGTCAAAAATCAGAATCAGATTTAAAATGCACCATCTGTAATGAGAAAATAACATCCAAATTAAATAATGACAGTTAAATAACAAATACTTCATTAATATCGCCTTCAAATCACGCCAGCAGTGTTTATCCAAGTGCTCCTGCAGTGAGTGCTGTGGAACTCGTCGATTTTCTTCAAAATCTCAACCCTGCTGTCTAACCATCTCTTCTCTACTTGCTGGGTGTGCGAACCTGTTTTCGGATCAACGTTATTTTCTTGGTAATCGATGGTTTTGTCATCGTACCCAGTCTGATTAAAACTCGTCATAATGGGTTGTTGAACCTGTTCCCACTCCGCGTTCACCGCTGGGGATCAACGTCACTGCATCTCACTTGAATATGTAGAGGCGCCTAACATCGGTACTCTGACAAAATCCAATGACCTGTAGCAACATTTAAGTCCGTTTTGTTTTACTCAGCTACAATACGCTTTTTAAAGACATTGACACAACTTTGAGTGAGGCATAGAACAAGCACGTGCATTTTTACCTGCTGACGACTTTGTTCTTATTTACTACTTTGTAACTGTTGGAATACTGCTATCTTCGTTTTTTTGGATAGCCTATTCACTGTGCCCAACTAATGGGTTTATCACTTACAGACCAATGGACCCTCAGTGGGTGAGCCGTGTTCGATATAATTTTGTTCTGCATCGTCATCGTTTTCTTCGGTAGATGCGTCCACACCTAAAAGAGGGACACGACTGTACTTACGGCGCCCTGCAAATCTGGCTCCGACGATTTGTTTTAGGTTTGTTGGCGATCCATTCAGTTTTCCTCTCCTGGCGACAGATGCCAGTTCAGAGCAGACTCACCGGAAGTAACTGAACCAGGCAACCGCAGTACTTTGGGATCTACCAGTAAGCTTTGATACTTCTTCCAGTGGAATTCCGTTGCCCCAGAGATATACTAGCTCTAAAATCTCACAGAACTTCAAATTACAGCAGTCCTATACATTCATATCACCATAATGCAAGAATTCGTTCCCTTTTTCTTACCGATCTAGCAGACTGGAAACTCCTTCTCCTGTACCTCCGTGCCGGCATTTTCTGTCCACGGATCTTCTTGTTCGTGAATATCACCTGCCCATCGCACTTGCGGCAAGATTCTTCCTCCACTGAGAACGCGTTTCGGAGATGTCGTGACGCCGCCTCTTCACGGTACACCACTCCAGAATAGAACTCTCGTAGCAACGTTTTGAAGGGTATGCAGAAGTAGGAACAAAAAGGAAAGGTATGACTCACACTATCGTAGCATCACAAACACGCAGGCTAACTCTCGAGGCGTGGTTCTCCGATGCCCACTCTATTAGGAGGCATCTGGACCTTCCTGCAGCTTGCAAAGTTCTACGTCATCATACCCGTAGAGCTCAGGACCAAACAACCACACCTAACTTAATAAAGCCGCACGGAGATAGCCTGACGCTGAGTCTACCTGGTTGGGAAGAACAAGAACCGCCAGACCGACCGCACGACAAAGGTTCAATCAGCTGCCCCCGACGGAGTGGTGACTCACAAAGCACGCAGGCAAAACGCCCGTCAACCATCTCCCGAGAGGCCGAGGCAGTGAGAGGAGAGAAAAATCGGTCAGCATGAGGCCGATCAACACAACATGCCACTTTAAATTAAATTTCTGATCGATTAAGTGCATTCTACGCTTTGACAATGGAGAGTTGACTAAGCCCTTTGAAACGTCAGCATTTAAATAAACCTGTTCCGGAGAGCCCACCTTCTTCTTCTTCTTCTTCTTCTTCTTCTTCTTCTTCAAACAACCTAACATCCCCCGAGAAGGAATGAACAGCGAACGGGTAGTTGAGAGCTCGACGGAGCAGCTAGGGCTTGTTTAAACGACGCTCTACTGATGCAGGAGGGAGAACATGAGACTAAGCGCGCCAGTGTGCAGGGTGTGCGACCGGGGACTAAGATCACGGAGAGGCTGACTGCGCTGACCTTCAGCCGTCCCGCTCTCCGATTGGCTACAATTAATGTTGACAAGCAAGGTGGGACGCTGTGAGGAGGCAGTGCGCCAAAGTTGCCTGAAAGCAGCAGGCGGCAGATGCGTTGGTGCGGGATGTCAGTGAGGGGAACTGGGCAAAAAAGGAGATCCTAAATACTGGGCTGATTGACCATTTGTGACTTCAGACGTGAGAGGGGAGATGAAGTTGGAGACTGAGAGAATTAAAGTCTGAGCGGACGAGTACTTAAGTCAGCAAGCCTCCATACTAGTCTGTCTGCCATCCGAGAGAGAGAGAGAGAGACAGAGAGAGAGAGCGAGCTAAGGGGGGTTTAGTGCGTTTAACTATTACACTTGCGTTGGGCCGTCAAGAGACTGGGATGGATTTTTATCGCCGGAAGTCGCCAATTTTTCTCGAAGACAAAAGGACTTGTAATAACTCTACTCCCTGCCTCTGTTAAGGCCTTGTGTCTCTGACCGGCGCATAGAGGTAAGTACATTCGTCCGAAAGTGTGAGGCTCCATATGATGTTGGCATCGCGTCTGGACAATCACTAAAACAAAAAAAACTTTGTTTGTTGTTCGGCGATTCAAAACCACCGGAACAGGCCAACTAGCTTCAAGGTTGACTGGGACACGTTTTCACTCAAGAAACTCACTCACCAGCTGCATTTTACTCCCCAGAAACGCCTCTACTGGCGCTAACTCCCACTCTTCCTATCAAGGACCTGGCCCGAGAATCGTAGTTTAAAGTTCTCCCGTGGTTTAGGTCTCCGCGACAAGTTCTCTGTGTTACTTGAACGCAAATCGTCCGACATTACTTGGAATTTCCCATTCTACAGTCTTCTAAATATGTAAATGTGAATGCCCATAAATAAAAGAAATCCAGAGGAATTACAGAGAATTTTTTGGAAAACAGGCCGTTCGTCAATGGAGCTTCAGTAAGATCCGTACAGCGGAACAGCGCATTCCTGATAAGAGCATGTCAGTCTGTTGAGTTCCAGTTATACGAAAATTTTGAAACAAAAGCAGGACAGTTACTTTATCATTACTGCACTAGCCTGATGGCGAAGAAACGAAAGCGTACGTTTGCGGGACTTGACCTCTTAATTTAGTATCATTATGCCGTGCCAGTAGATGATCCCAACCAACCCCAAGACACGGTCACAAAGAAAAAGAGTAAACCCTCACCAAAATCCCAGTAACTTATTTGCTCTCCGTATGCAATAATTGAAATAAAAGTTATTTTTGACGAATCTTCAGAAGTTGTCTGTTTTCCTGTCATTGAAAGAAGATCTAGGGGATCGGGAAAGAAATGCACCCATCTGCCGGACCTGTCCAAACTGAAGCTTGTTTGCTAACTTCAGGATGTGACGATGCAACCGACAGCCATACCATGTGAAGGGAACCATTGCTTCCAAGTGTGCGGTCTCATTGTAGACCTCTGCACATCCGTGATCAGAAATCACCTCTCTGACTTCCTCTTCATTAAAGGTCCCTAAATCTCACTTGCATCAATGCTCATCCCACGCCCCGTTTTCTTTGTTCGTAATTTCCTACTGCCTATGCCACTACCTGCTGTGCGATTGCCTGCGATACTCTTGATCGAACTCAAAAACGCAATGGGATGAACATGAAATCAACCCGATCAATTGACGGACTTTCAACATAGTTAATACTTCTGTCGAATGTTGTATGGTCGACAAGATAAAGATTCCCAATCAAATGTCAGGGAAGACGGTTTGAGTTGGACAACCTTTACTGCCTGAGAAAGTGCGTACACAAGGGATCTGCAGGCAGTCGCCGCGAGCGCGCTCCAAGCAAGCTGTTGTCTCTGTGTCCGCCTTCGGGGTGTTCAGCACGTGTGTGTGCCCTTCGTTGTCTCCACGTCGCCAGCCAATCAGAGCGGGGACAGCGTTGATTGGCTTCGAGCACTCGCGCGTCCCAGCAGCGTATCGATAAGGAGTGTGAGGCGGACAGGACAGCAGCGTGACAAAGGCGGAGGGCGAGGAGACGCGAATTGCCACACTTCCATCGTAATGGTAGGGGGCGCTCGCCGATCGTTCTTACGGAACTCACACGTTCCACTGTGCCTTACGGGCTCTCTCTCGAGACCAACCAGCAGCCGCACAGCGGCGCATGATATAGGCCTCGGGTGTTCCACACTTCGGGGTTGGGTATGACTGGCTGATGACGGCTAATAAGCCAGAAATGACCATTCCAGTCTCCCTTGTCTTTGTCGGTAATAACATACTACTCCGATCGTAACCGACAGGACAACGGGCCTGCGGCCCAAATGATGAAGCGTTGGACCAAATAACATTCAGAAAACCAAGTAAAGTGGGGTCGAGACTCAGGTGTCGCAAAGGCCCCGCTTGGGCAAGACTAGCTGACGACGGCTAATAAGCCCAAAATGGGCGTCCTAGTTCTCCGTCTCTTTTTTGGTAACTTTCGTCTGCATATTATATTAGTTGCGGTGGACTGCCGGCAATTATTTAGACCATGCACTACATGATGAGCATTTCCTCTTGCCCGATCAGGATACGCTCTTACAAATTGTAAATATATATTTATGACGGATGGGCGCCCACCCAATCACGCTTCAGAACTCGCACGTCCCGTTGTGCTTTAGAGCTCTCTATTGAACCCCGCCAGCAGCCTCCCAGCGGCTCGTATAATATCGGCAGGATAACATTACCCAAAAGACAAGGGGGGCTGGAGGGAACATTTATATCTTATTAGCTGTCGCCAGCTAGTCATAGCCAAGTCCGCGGTGTGGAACACCTGGGGCTCAATGCCACGACCTGTTACCCCGAACTCCAACATCCTGACCGTTGAGCCACAGACTCTCTGTCCTGTCGGCTGCGATCGGGTATGTACAATGGTAGAGGATAGAACAATAGGCCAGTGTCTGAGCAGATAGGGCGTTAGATTTATAACCACCAGGTCGCGGGATCGAGCTCCAGGTGTTGCGCACAGGCACACATGGCGCAGTTGGTCCACCGGTGGAGTCTACCGGATGGATCATAAGGACTTCATCGTACCGAAGTTCATCACTGCATCGCCACCCGTCATGCTCTGTTGCTGCGGGCCGGATATTTATTCAATCAGGAATGGGCGCACACCGATCTTTTGGCTTACCGAAGCAAACAAGCCCCGTATGGGTGACAAAGGTCACGAACGGGCAACCAACTACGAGGCCGAAGTCGGCAAAATCATAATAGCAACGAGGAGGGAGGACAGATAATGCGGGTAGTTTGATACAGCACTGCGCTTGGAATCGAATGAAGAGAAATGAGACCTCTTAAATCATGCTTAAGCTTGGGTGTTCAGACTTCATTAAAAAAAATCGGAAGACATTCCATATCTCAAATCTTAAATAGACACATTTCCACCAAGTGACAGCCTAGTACATAAATCCTTCTCACTAATGGAGGAAAATATGCGCATCACAGGCTCTTGTTTAAAAGAAGACGAAGGCACAATTAATGAAACGGAGCTTTATTGGTCTTAGCTTTCTAACTCGAACAGGAGTTCATCATCGAAGACTGTTAAAGTGCAGCAACGTGTGAACAGTTATACTGTTGTACCGTGAGGGGTGGGTTACGTCCGTGGCTAGGTCTAGTTCGTGCTGCCTGGTCCACAATGCCTCCCCCCCCCCCAGCGTGGAGACGGCGTTTGACCTTCGCGGCGATGTGAGCTGCGCCACCTGGCTGCGTGGGTGGAGCGCGTGATAACACGCAGGCAAATCAATGTGTCTGTTGATGGAGTTGGTGTCCAACACCCACGCAGTTCCCACCACGTCTTGTTGCCGGCCCGAGCCAATATCCGCGTGTTGGCGAAGTCGAACTCATGGCCTTACTACAGCGTGCGAGTGACGGCTTGAGATAATGGGTCGCCTCTCTGAACGGCTCGTTTGTGCTCGAGTATTCTTGAGTTGAGGCGTCGTCCCTCGTTTCGTCGTACTTTTCTTCGAGCCGTTTGCGTAGCACATCGTGCGCCAAGTCTGGTGGGATGGACGTGAAAAGTGCGACAACGTCGAAGGATACCATGATTTGGTCGGGTCGAATAGCTTTTCCCCGAATGTCGGCAAGGACTTGGGAGGCCGAATTGACTGACGTCACAGGGCCCTCTCGGAGGGAATTGAGGTTTCGGGACATTCATTTGGCTACATTTTATGTGGGGCTGCCTTTCAGGGCAACGGTTGGCCGCAGGGAACTTTGGGTT